TGAGAAGAAAGGGGCACACAATAATTCTATCTGGCTAGATCCTTCGTATTTTGCCACACAGAACAATTAGTTCTAACGAGAAAAATACCCTAAGGCTAAATAATCAGCATTGTAAATTTCTTTTGAAAGTGAGAGGTAGCACAATAGAGAATTCGGGAAAAAGAGATGACATACAATGGAGGAGATAAAAATTACAATCTTTAATCAAAAAAACAACTGATTTTGTGCAAAATTATTCACTCCTTAGGTGTTATTTCTTTCCAGTCTTTCATGCTCTTCTCTGGCTATGCATTATAGAATACAATATCTTGTGCATACAATCAGCTTTTTCCATGAAAAGGCGTGAGAAGTAGCATTATTTTCCGCCTGCCGTTTTTCCTCTCTTTATGATTGCAATTTTTAACGATGGGACAGGGACTGAATATCAAGCTGTGAGAGCAGTATACATATATATATATATATACAAGTGCCTTACTTGTCTCATGATTTTTGTTTCCCCTTCTTCGTTTATTCAATTATATTCGTTAACATTGAAAAAAGGAACAAAACTAGTTGAATGATGCTTTTGAAAAATGTATTTAATTGGGTGACATTATTTTTTTCTCCTGCGGTCTTTGGCGCAGTAGCTATTGGAAGGAAAATCCATATTTAGTAAAGATTATCACTTAGTTGTAATTGCTGCCGTTAATTGTTTTCTTTTACTGATAGACCTCGACAAGTAGAATTTCAAAACCGTATCTGTTAGCTGTCCTGTATGAGAGACAGTTACAATATGAATATAACAAATTTTGATCGCTGAGTTAAACCTAATTATTGGTATTTTGTATTGATGAATTCATTTCGTGGTCTAACTTGAAGCCAAACAAATCCTTGCTAACCAACACTTCAAAACTAATCTAGTGCTGACTGGCGAATACAGGGTGAGGTTGCCTGCAGTTCTAATGAGAAATGGTAACCAGGGGAGTCCATCAAGTCGGGTATGAAGAAATATAGTCTCAGATGACATTTGCTGGTTGTATTGCTACATAGCCCAAACTGGAAAAATTCAGAATCTGTGGGTCATAGGATTCCGTCCCATTGGGTGAATGGCCAGTGGGCTCCCCTTGTTGGCTGAAATTCCTAGATTAATCTCTAATAGGGTGATTAGATCATACTGCTGAAGAGCCAGAAGCTAAGGCAAAACATTTCCCCATTGCTCCCTGGTTTTGAGTGTTTCTCTAGTTAGTACCATTTCGTGATCTAACATGAAATCAATCAAATCTCTATAATCTAACACTTGAAGGTTTAAAATAAGTAATCAGTTCGTTAATTACCCCTTTACGTTTTGAACTAGGTGAGTCAAAATTTAGTTGTGTAGGTAATAATTTTATTATCACTGAGGAAAATAAATTTGTACACGCCTATTACTAAAAATGCTTGTCATTAGCATGGAATTTAATGGAAAATAAGGAATAAGATTAGGAATTCTGAATATCTTATTCCTCGTTCAGCAGAAAAGGTAAATTGTTGCCAAACACACGATCACATAAACTTTTTTCATTGTACAGAAACACTGTAGACTAACACTGTAAGAGGCTTCTAGCTCCATTTTGGAAATCAGATATCAATACAAGTTTATTCGGGGTTATTTTTCAAGTCTACCATCAATAGTATCATCATACGTTGTTTTTTCGGGTTCAAGGATCATCTCAGAAATCTGTATGAGACAAGATTTTTAAAAACGATGTTACATTTTAGGCCAAAGTATTCACCTCTCTTTCCACATTATAACCTTTGTCTTACGGAGAATGAATTCATGTACGCTAATTTTCGAATTTACATTTTTTTTCTTATTATTACCATCAAACACTATGTTGTTCACTTTAGTGCTACTGATCTAAGAAAGATTATAAGTCGAGAAATTAAGTAACTCACTCATGGTAAGAAACAACCATTAAGTAAAATGTATGAATATGAAACATTCATATATAAATAGTGCGACAGAAGGGAAAATGTAAGTGAAAACTGTAGTGGGGTCCTAATTAAGTCAGTGGGGAAAACAGGGAAAGTAGTACTACTTCTCAGAAGCATGGCAGTTAGGCTGAAGAACCATCAGAGGTTGGCTTGACAAGAAATCATTCCTTTAGACAAGCTCATATGAATATATTCACTATCAGCTGTTCCGAATTGCTAGGATTTCAGCGTTTTTGTAATCACACAAAATATTTCTTCCATATAATACCTAAAATTTTTGGATGTTTTATCTGGAAGAATAATGCGAAAAACTTCTAGGTGCGGACAAAATGAATCCGTTGCCAGCTATCTTTAATCTTATTTCAGATGCACTCAAACAATAACACAGAACTGAATGTTACCACGATCCATTTTCCCTCTTTCTAATTCTCTCTTACTCGTGCATCTTCGTGATTGTCTATTTACATCAAAGCCAAAATCCTTAAATAAACCATGTGCTGATTTCATTACCACCCATACTAAGCAGTTAAATATTTAGGTTAAATAAAGATCTTGCATTAGTCTTTGAATGGATGAGTACTGATTGTTTCTAAGTAACACTAGACATTCCATATTGTATCAACAAATACTGAAAATTGTGCCTCTAACAGAACTATATTAACAGTTATCAAGATGACGGTAAGACAGTAAATATCAACTAGGGTTTTTAAAAATTAAATGAGACGAGAATTAAAATTCAAGATTTTGCACGCCCATTTTCTCTCATTTGATTTAAATGAATCACCACCAGTGGCATCATTATTTTAATAGCATTACCACTACTAATTGTACTATGAGGTAAATGGCAGATTATATGACTAATGTTTACTTTTCAACATATGTACTCCATGTGTTTAATAATGCCTAGAAATGAAGGTGGTGCGGCGATTTATTAACTAACTGACTGACTAACTAACTAACTAACGCAGTTTACATGGACAGATTTTAAAAAATTAATTCTTTAAGTAGTAGCATGTATTAATACTAAACATCAATTATTCAGGAATAGAGTCATCATCTCCCGAAATGTATTCGATAGACGGCAGTTGCAGTAAAAAAAGGGCTAAACTAAAGAAAAAAATAAAGTGTGTATGAGACAAACATGGAACGTGAAATTCTCCTCTGCATAAACTCACGTTTAGTCAATTTCCCAACGGGCATAATATTTTTTGCTGAAAAAAGTAATAATAATAATCTCTTCCCTTATTTTAAGGTAAATCCCTTGTTAGATACTCTCTCCTATTCTCTGTTACCATATCTATACATCCCAACTTGTGTTTCTTTTCTATTTTCTTCATTTTTCATTTTGTTTCTCACATGTCTACAATATGCACACATAAACTTGAAATGTAGGAAAACAGTAAAGTTTAAATTACCACTACTTATGCATAATATATTAGGAGGATTTTGAAAAATTTTTAATTCCTCTTCAAAAGTAGATGAGAAGTGTCATTCTTTTTTCCGCATCGTTATTCTCACTAGAAGAAAAATCGTCATGTCATTCACGAAAACTGTCATTGGTATAAATCTTCAAGTGTACAAGAGATTGTACTTTGAACAAATTAATGTATACGGTATATTTTATGTACACTACCTTCTGTGTCTTTCTTTTCTTATCCTGGTTTATAATACTTATCAGTCATGTACAGACTGCTCGGAAACAAATACACATTTAACAGCTGAATATATTTGTTTAAAAAGAGTATAAAGGTATTTCAGTATCATTTTCAAAGGATATTAGCTACACCTTAGATTTGAGGATTAAAAAGGAATTTCTAGACAGTTTTCATCATACATATAAAATAACTTAAAAGACAATAAAAGTTGGATAGCATCCAACAGCAGCCTGATTCTCGTCTAGGATAAAAAATAACATCATTCTTAAATGGATTCCACTTCTTGTCTCAAGACAAGGAGGCTGTAATTAAGTGACGAATATTTTTCAGTTTCTGTATGTTTACAATTTCATTTCGATGAATGAACGATAGAATACTTTTATCTGACCTGGAAGTCACGGACATTATTTGTCTCGGGGTAGTAAGTATGGATCGCTAGCCAGACTTAGAATGGATAAAACAGCTTATGTCCCCTAACTCCTAGTAATTACCCAAAAATAATAATACGTGATGAAAATCACCTTGGATTTAGTCTGAAGAAGATATTGCAGTGAATAGTGATTCCGTGAATTCTAACGTCTGGTTCTAAAATGGACTCCTTTAGTTGACTAGCCATCAGTAATTCCGAAAAAGAAGGAATGTTGTGCGTAAGGCTAGCAACTTAACACCGTAAAAGAAAAAAATCACTGCTAAAACCTTTAAGCTTGAAGCCTTATTCGTCCAATCGAAGAGAGAGGAATCAAGAGAAAAGGTTGGATGAATCAGGCGTTGACTAATTGCATCCGGATGTATTGCACTGATAAATACAGCTAAGAGGTGAAAGTAAATAAGATTAAATTGATAAAATAGAGGAGGAACAATATCTCTAACGAAATATATAACACTAGGAGTTAAATGTAATGGAGAGGATTCTCAAGAACTAGTATCTCGAATAAGCATAGCAAACAAAGGAAATACGTGACAATGCATACATATGTATCTGTTTACACTGGAATACATTCCGGCAAAAAAAGAAGCCGACAAAACATACAAAAATGTTCACGGTCTTAAAAGTGTGCGTAAGGCGATCACCGCATATTTCTCAGATGTGATTATTAGATGGTTACTATAAGTTATAAAATACCACTGAATGGGGAGCCAGAGAAGAAGCTATCTCATCACTTATCAGCCATCCCGACACTGGTTCCTCAGCGTAAACATCTGCTCTTCTTTTACTTATTAAAACCAATGAGCACTTTACTTTGTGAGCGCAATGGAGTTCAGATATAATCACATTGTAGGATACCACCTTAGAAGTCTAGTTAAAATTCTATTACGATTAAGATTATTCATTCTACAACTGTCGTTTATACATAGAGAAATATAAATTACATCAGAAACAATACTACTCACCACCGTCAGTAGAATCCGTCCTACGGATACGACGTCCATGCTTTGAGTTATTATGTACAAACATATTGTCAGATATGCAGAGTAATTTACGTTCAATTGCATGCGTTGATGATATTGCAACCTTAGGCGTAAAATAGAAAATAATATGGAACTTTATTGTTATTTTTATATTAACAAAATGTTTTAATCAAAAAATTCTTCGATTATGAGCTAACAACATCAACATTTTATTCACCATTTTAGTAAATTAACAAAACTTATTCTTTGACAATAATCAACATATGGTACTCATAGCTTATGGAAAAATTTCTCGAAGACAGTTTTAAAATTCACCTAGACATTTTTGAAGGATTTGAATAATTTCAGGATAATCTTTAGCAACTTGCACAGGAAATGGTATAATTTCCTAGGCTGATAATTACTGGATGAGTACATTTTTAGACACCTAAACTATTTTCTTGAAACTGTCCTCGATCAAAGTCAAGACTTCTACTTTGGGGACTTTCAAATTAAAATTATTTGATGACTACCTTTTGATTTGGAGTCACTTCTACATATAAGTGCATTTCTTTTGAAGGTCACAATTCTCTTTAAGAACTTGAATTAATCTAACAGTTGAAACCTGCGGCTGAATGATTTATACCAGATAGAAATTATGGCAACAAGCATGAAGATGAGACAGAAAGAAAACTCAGATTTGACCCATAAGAATCGGTTACTTTTTTCTTCACTAGGTATTCAGTCGGAAGGTTAGAATATTAGTTTTGGCAAAAGAGGAAGGCTCTCCGATAGTACTGTGGTGAGAGCTGGCTGTTAGTCGAAATTGGTGGACAGTAATTTACGTCAATGTTTATGTCCCCAATATTGGTCATGAGAAAAATGAGAGCAAAGGCTTTGCGTAGGCAGATACAGATAACATATAAATGATCTGACATTCAAGAAACAGCCACAAAGTGATGCAAGGTTAACTTTCTGTGAGAAAGAACCGATCAGAAGACTGTGTTTTTCTGCTAACAAATATGTGTTGATTTCATTAATAAACGATCTGTTGCCTGGCCCTTGTTTTCTGTTGTTACAGTGCTACTTCAACTTTGAATTATTTCGCGAAAACTGCTTATATATATATATATATATATATATATATGAGCTATCCAAAAACAGGAATATTTTTCACATATGCACAATATAGTTTTACAAGCATATATTTAAAGTAAGTTATTTCCTTTAACGATAATATATCACTTGTTGAAATTTTATTAACCCTTGGGATTCAAGTACGTACACGTACTCCGAAAGTCACACACCCATGCAAAATGCTTGCTTGCTATAAGAGTGGATTAATGTAGCGGACTCTTCCTAGCATATGTATATATTAAATGTAGAAGAGGTTAGAAATGAAGTATCTTGACAGTTTATTCTGTACATTTATCATTCCTAAAAACAAGTATGCATGCAGTCAGTTGACAAATTAATAAACAACCGTTTATGCACATTTCAATCCTTTTTATTTATTTCTGTCATTCACCATGAATATAGAAAAAAAAACTTGTCAAGGTAAACTTGTCATTCAAATTCATTTGAAAACCATTGTAATAATTCAGCAGGAAACTTGATGCAAGTGAAATTCCTTAACGCACCTCACAGATGTTTCATCTTATACATTGTACTCAGTCATTTCATCCTATAGGAGCAAACTAAGCGTCTAAGTAAATGCCACTCAGAATACAAAGTATATACTTTAATTTTCTATAGTTGGTTTGTAAGGATTAGTTTTGATTTTTACGAGTTGATCACCGATTGATATCAGTTAGAGAACCACTGAAAACCAGGGAGTACTGGACAGCAGTTTCATCCTAGTTTGGGAATCATCGGCAGGACGCACCCAACTTTAATGCTTAAATTATTCTGAAAACAATGCAAGACAATGCATCAGTGCCATTACGTAAAAGACTTACTTTGTGTACTTGCTGTCTGGAGTTATCCAAAAGAAGGGTAATTTTTGCGAAGCTAAACGAGTTGAAAGCTCCCCTTCAGAATCACATTTTATGTTTTCATCTCATCGTCTACTTATTTCTTTAAATTACTAATCACTCTTGACATGTGACATTTTTTTAGTTTGTTTTTATCTGGAAACTTGGCTTTGTTAGTAGATAAATTACAATTAAAACAAATTTATTAAACTTATTCAACTGAGCTATGTGTTGTTTAACTTAACTTTTGACACCAGGTTTATTACTTCTCGGTTTTCAATGGTTCTCTAACTGATATCGATCCGTGGTTAAAGTCGTAAAAACAAATTCAATCCTTACAAACCAACTCCTGAAAATTAACTATCGTATTTTTTTTATTTCTTAAATGTTTTACATCCTCCAAAGAGAAGTGTGATCTTCGTTCACTAATTAATTACCCAGTGGCTGAAACCAGTCTGAGCCAATACAGCATACCAATACCTACTTTCGTTTCTCATAGTTTCATGGAACATTTACAAAGACATATTTAATCAGTGTCAGTGCTGATCCTGCATAATTCGAAATAGTGGTAGCATGTACTTTGTAAACGTGCGTCGGTGGTATAGAGGTTAGGAAGCTCGCCGACCATGCACATGGTCCGAAATTCGATCCTCGGCCGATGAACACCTTTACCTCGCTAATCCAGAAATAATCCTGGTAAAGAGGAAAGGTTGAGAATGAGGCTAGCAACCCCATCCTGTAAAATAAACACTGCTACAGAAACTTCAAGCCAATCGCTTGAAGCCCTCTGTTCCACTGGGGAACGTGAAGGAAAAAATATTTTAAAAAATAGTACTTTGTAAACACTAAGTAGTATAGCTTAGTTAACCAGTAGTAAAGTTGTTTGCCTTACTTTTTAACATAATTATCTTTACTGGTTGCTTTGAAAAGCAACACTTTTTTGTTGAATGTACAACAGACTAGAAATATGATAACTTAGTAACAAGTAGTATGTAGGTTTCGAATTTCTCTAAAACTGAACTACTAAACACTGTGGTAAGAATTAAGGGGACTTTGATCACTAACAAAAATAGTCCACTAACTATTTTTCATTTCTTTTTTCAACTGACTTACTTGGAATCGTCTCATATCTCGTGGATTTCCAGCATTTTTTAGGCAATTCTGGTTACATTTCATAAAGAATTTGAGGAAATGCCTAAAATGAAAAGTATGAACAGATAAATAAACTTTCTGCACAATTTTACAGGTGAAAAAATAAATAAATTAGTTATTAGCATTCGATGTGAAGTTCTAAGCGTTTCTTTAAACCTCTTGAAAAACAGTGATTTACTATTTCAGCTTCGATGAGAGAACCTTTAAGTTGTCAAAATGGTACCCAGCCTTTGATAACAAACAGCTTACCAGGTGGTAGATAGTGACAGTTGAGCTTAATTATAATTTTAATAATTTCCGTTTAATTCTTTCGCATTCCCAGTGGAACATAGGGCTTCAAGCTTTCGCATTGAAGTTTCAGTAGTAGTGGTGTTTTTTACGGGATGGAGTTGCTAGCCTCACGCCCAACCTCCCACTTTATCTGGGTTAACACCGGCTAAGGAAGGTAAAGAAGTCCACTGGCCAGGACCCGAACCTCAGACCACGTGCTTGGTCGACCAGTACTCTACCGCTGAACCACCGACGCACGCCTAATTATAAAGTCTAGTTTTATTCTTTATGACGTTCACTTTTACTACTGATTATATTATTATTTTGTACCAAATAACTCCTAGTCCTCTGCTGTTTTTCACTGAAAGATGTTCTATATACTCTTTTTTGCATCTTGAAGAGATTAATTTAAAGAATTCAAATGATAATCATTCAATACCAATACAGACTAGTCATTAAGTAATCAAAAGAGAAACTTTCAACTTGTTAGCATTACGGTTACGCTGGACATTATGACCATTACTGCTTATCTTTTCGTCATAAAATATGTCTGAATTACTGATCCAACAAAGCAGGATACTTAGTCTCCCTATGTGTAGTTCGGTGTGTATACAGCTGGTAGAAATGCTAATTCATTATGCCGTTTGCAGAAATAATTACTGTTTATCTGAATGAACATGGACGGTAAAAATGAATGAGAAAGGAATGGACAGAACGGGACTCATTAGCGAAGCAACAGTTGTTTAGACTATGAATAACCATAACAAAACGTTGTAAATGTTTTTATTATAGTCACGTGTGCAATACTACTATAGTAATAATATTACTGCACATGACTTAATATTTGATTATGAATATTCTCTAATCATCACCTTATTTTTCTGTTCATTTTACATTAGTCTGTAAGTCGCGTGCTCATATGATAAATAGTTGAAGAAACTACAGCATTCAGCCTACTTAACGTTTTCAGATGTATACACAACCATCGAAAATGTGTCATGAATAACAAAATTGACCTCCAGGAAATTTAACTGTGTACATTTGTTAATACTTTTTATATAGTCATCATACATTTTCTCCAAATTAATTATTAGTCATATAATTTCGAGTTCAGTAATTGAATACTTATTTTAAACACAAAAATTTCAAAATAGTTGTTGTAACGAAGTGTTACTGTTTTTGATGGTTGTTTGCTAACTGGACTAGAATGAGCCTCCAGTCATGATACTGTAGCCAACTGACCGCTTGGAAAAATTCCCATAGTGAACAGACATACAGAAATCAAATAGAACTGATACAACTACGACAACGACAACAAATTCGAAGGAAAGAAAGAGACTGTACAAGATTAAGGATAAATCTGGTCTTAGGAAGATAAACATCCAAATTAAATCTGAAATCAAGAGACTAAACAATATTTATAATCAAACAATACTATCTTGTAAAACTTCAGAAAACATGTGGAAGCTTTTCAGAGAAATTGCAGGTTGTGGTAAGCATAGTATTTGTGCCCCTTCTATTGATGTAAATACTCTTAATGGATCTTTTATCCACCCTCCTAATGTCCCTTTTGGCTTCAATGTAAAAAATACTAGTGACTTTCATAGTTTGAATACTTCTGATGTTCTTAAGTGTTTAAAATCTCTTAAACCTTCCCAGAGTCTAGGCCCTGGTGGTATACCTGCCATTGTTCTAAGGAAATGTGCTGATATTTTTAGTAACCCACTTACAAACATTTTCAATACTTCTTTTTCTAATAATGTTGTACCTTCTCTGTGGAAAGATATTAAAATCATCCCTGTACCCAAGTCTGGTTCTGGAAATAGCGTTAAGTTTGGACCCATTGCTATTACCTCTCCTTTTTTGAAACTAATCGAGAAATTATTGTTACTAAAACTTGTTCCCTCCCTAAGCTTCTCAAATGATCCAAAGCAGTTTGCTTACAAACAGGGTAGAAGTACTTTAGACGCTGCTGCTGTGTTTCATCGCAACATTGTATCCTCCTTAGAAAAAGGGGCCAAGTGTGTCCGTTGTACGTTCCTTGATTACACATCTGCTTTCGACTTTGTACCTAGAGGCTTTTTGTTAAACAAGCTTAGCCTTACACAAACTGAGTCCTGGGCTATCAACTGGCTGCATTCTTACTTCTCCAATAGGATGCAGTACACGGTATATAACGGTGTAGCTTCCTCTCCTTTGCTTACTGAAGCTGGAGTTCCTCAGGGTGCTGTTCTCTCCCCGTTTCTCTTTTCCTTCTTCTTACATGACTTACCTCTTTCAGACGAAATCAACTTCGTCAAATATACAGATGACCTGACTGTTTCGCTTCCCGTTAAGTCTCAGTCAGACTGTTTCAAATTAAATAGCTTCCTGTCGGACATCAGTCAGTGGTCTAAACTAAATGGCCTCATGCTGAATCCCTCAAAATGCCAGATTATTGACTTCTCCTTTAGGCATAAACGAGATGTAAAAACACTAGTAAGCACTGAAGAAGCCTGTAGCAATTAGAGGACAAAAATTGAAACCAAGTCTCATGCAAAATACCTCGGATTAGTTCTATCTTCCGACCTTACTTGGTCATCTCATATCCTAATGAATTCCAAGAAAGTGTTTCGTCTAACCTACTAGATTAAGAAACTCGGACAAACTGGAGTCACTCAACCTCTACTTTCAGAATTTGTCAACTCTCGTATCCTACCTGTTCTACTTTACTGCTTCCCATTAGTCTTTCCTGGGTTACTGAAAAAGGGCTATACCATTTTGAGAAGGATGTAGAAGGTAGTTAGTAGGACTAGTGGTGTAAAACTCAGTCAGTTCGTCACTACATTAGTAGAAAGGCATCTGAATACATGCGAAAAATGGTCTAAAACCATACCCTCTGACCCCCAACACCCCCTCTATTCCCAACTCTCTCCTTATATCTCATCAGGTAGAATCAGAAATCAGTACAAAATAATATATGCTCGTAGAAACAAGTATAGGAACTCAACGATACCATATTTGGTCCATGTTCTAAGTGACAGAGACAAACCTATGACTTTCTTTGTTATTAATAACATAATTTTGGCTCTTTTGTTTCTCTTGTCTGTATCCTATAGTGAACACTTTCTTAAACATACTCAGCTACCTAAATTATTAACATTGGCTTATTTTTTTGTACTTTTTTCTACTCCTTCTTTTGTGGATCTACTGGTTCTGACTATATTATCATTATGAGTATTACAAAATTGTCCTGTCATTAACCATCATGTAATATTAGTTTAGTAGTTGTCTTTTGTTCGGCAGTATTAACTGACGATCTTGGTTGTGAACGCCATTATCACCATCTTAAAATTTTGTATTATGCAGGATCACTAACACTACCACTACAAACACCGCATTAGAGCTGACAATATAAACCCTGAAATGTTTATTTTATGATTGTTAAGTGTTGTTCAATCAAATCAACTGATCACCTTGGCGACAAACATTCTTAAATATCATTTCATAACTTCTTGTATGATTATAGCTTTACTGTTCAACACGCATAAACATATCATAGCTTCCTTTACCCAATACTGAGATATTTTTTATTATGCTGTTTATTCTCCTTCCTACTTGGTATTTTTTGGCATTTTTTTCTTATTTTTGTGGTTTTTTGCTTTTGTTGTTGCTGTTTTTTATATTTATTTTTTGAAATACTCCTTTTAAATGTGCGATGAAATTAGATGCAATATTGTAGATATGTGCTGAAAATTCCACACTGTATCACTAGTACTGTTTCTGGAATATAAAGCAAATTATTATTAACTTTATTCACAATACAGAGTAAATCATCCTTTACACATCAGAGGAAGTTTAAATCATAGGTTAATAATGAATATCTGTCTGATTGCATCAGTCATGACTTTACGACCAACAAAGCTATTAAATGTTGACAATGATGTAAGGTCATAAGATGATTGTTATTCACTACTTATTAGTTTGTATTCGACGATGACTAAATGGTAGAATATTCGCTAACCACGTATGAGGTTCCCTTCTGATTCCCGGCCTATTCACTCCTAAACCTCACCTAGTTTATCAGTTGGTAGAAAGCACAAAGAAGAAGGAAGATTGAAAGTTATACTAGTGACCCCATCCTGTAGAGCGATCATCACTACTACTACTGAAACTTCAAAACTTGAAGCTCTGCGCTCCACTTTGGAAGCATAATAACGTTTACTTTTACTTCATATAACGCAAATTACTGATGCAGTTTTGCATAGTTAGTCTACTATTGGTGAGTACCATTGACAGATGTAGTCTGACTGCTCAACATAATACTGTTCTACACACTGAATGACATCTAAGAATTACTACTTTTAAAAAACATTAGCTACAAACAGTGAATCACCTACCTTTTGGATTGCATGTAAGTCTTTTATCGTATTTCAAATAAACCAAAAAGTCTTTTATGAAGGGTTTTACAACGGTATAACTTCTTAATACATTATTGCATAAGGTAACAGCAGCCTCTTTCTAATTTCTTCCCAAGTATTTGAAGCATGTTGAGTGATTCAACTAAGTATGAGTGACAAGTCTTCTGTTTTGTTGAGAAGCCATTAAAAAATTACTTTATTTTCGAAATAGTACTGAACATCATGAAATGACTTTTATCACTGTATGTAGCGATTCTGAGTTTTAATTAAACGTGCATTACTTCACCCCCTCACTCAAGTTATTTAAATCGCATAAGCAGAATAGACAGCAAATAAAGTTGTAAATTTTCAAGTGTTGATTTCCAATGTTTTA